TTTTTTTTTTTTTTTTTTGAAGAGCCTGCCCACCTCTCCTGCAGCCAGGGTTGCGGGGGGAGGGTAGAGATGCTGGTGGGCTGAGCAGCCCCTGAGCTGCAGGGGGGCCCTGTCCTTCCCTCTGCAGCAGCGGCACCCCCTTATTTTTAAATAAATGAATAAAATAAGGATTGTGCCTCTTGCTGCTCTGCCTCTCCCCCAGGGGAGCCTGCACGTATGAGCTGCCGGTGGGCTGAGCTGCCCCTGAGCTGCAGTGGGCCCCGGTCCTTCCCTCCATGGCAGCAGCACTGTCCAGGACTGCCCGGGCAGGCAGCTAGTGGGCTGGTGCTGCCCCAGCTCAGAGGCAGCACCCACTGGATCCAATTCTTCCCCGAGAGTGCCAGGGCTTCCAGTGCTGCATGCACCATCCCTGCCACCTTCTCTGGCTGCCAGCACATACAGCCACCCTCTTGTCGCTTCCCTGTGCTGCCCCAGGGGCAAGGCAGGCCGATCCTGGGCAGTCCCAGGTGGTGACAAGGCAGCAGTGATGGTGCACGTGGCGCTGGAAGGCCTGGCAGGCTCAGGGAAGAGTTGGAGGCAGCACCTACCTGTTAGCTGCCTACCCAGACAGAGGGAGGGAACCCACAGAGGGAAGGACCAGGGCCCCCTGCAGCTCAGGGGCCGCTCAGCCTGCCAGCAGCTCGCATGGGCAGGCTCCGCTTGAAAAAAAACCCAAAAAAAAACCAGTGAGGGGCCTATTCCTTTTTATTTTTTGTGAAGCCTGCCGCTGGCTGGTGCGTGAGCTGCTGGCAGGCCCTGAGCTGTGAGGAGGCCTGGTCCTCCCCTCCACAGTGGTGGTGCCCCCTGGGGCTGCCTGCTAATGGGCCATGGGCTGCCCCAGCTTGGAGGCAGCACCCAGCCCGATCCAACTGTTCCCTGAGCTACACTGCAAACTAAACTACATGGGGATGTGGTTCAGTTTGCAACAAACTCGTTTACAGCATAAAGAACCCGTATGTGTAAAGTGTGACACAATTAAACTGCAAAAACGGGCAATTTTCATCACGTGTGCAAACGCCTTATGACAGAATCAGGGACAGACTTCAACCCCTAAGGGCTGCAACTCCTGCCTCAGTCACTGAACAACTTCTCCTTCTGCAATCGAAGCAGCAGGAGTTCTACAGACAATGGCCTCGTTTGCTACACACTCCTGATTCATGCCCAGAGTGAAGGCAGTCTGGGCACCAAATGAGCATGGGATCCTGTGAAGAAAAAATTTGTATGTGATGGTGTAATTAAAGGCGGTCTCAAGAAGCCTACATGCCAGGGTGTGTTTTAACACTGAAACCTTTTATCATGGTTGGTGAGCAGGTAAATGTCCTAATCAATGTAAGAAACTAAACTCCTTTTGCCCAGGCCCCCTCCCCTGCTTCTCTGTGCATTCAAGTCAGGCCATTTCCTCCTTCTACTTGGGCAGGAGGAACAAGGAGACCTCTTGAGGGCATAAGAGAATCAAGTCTTCCTGCACTCAGGTCTGGTGCACGCTGGACCCCAACAGCTGGGAGGAGCAGTTGTAGGATGCTTGTTTTTCTCATGGGGCTTTATGAGACTGGACTAAGTTTACTACAGGCAGAATATGTTAGACAAATTTGCTGCTAAAGTCTCTACTGAGCACGTGTGACCAAACACTTTTAGAGGAGTATCACATGGCAAACTTCAGGTGCAGCACAGCTCTTCATTCTAACTTCTGGGTGACCTACTAATTTCAAGTCCTGGCTGGGAGCAAGAGCTTCTCATTCGAACAATGATAGTTATTTTTGAAAACAGAGAAAATAAGTTGCTTTTTCTAATTTGATATTTGGAAACAATTTTGCTGAAATTAAGGGGTGGGGAGGAAGTCAGCTGGCAGTTGACACCCAGCGCAGGATGCATCCAAGCTAGCAGGTAAAGTTTGGCAATTATAAGTAACTGAGAACAAGGTCTTCCAGTGTGAGTACTGGGCAGCCTTAACTATAGGCACTGCTGTCAGCTCTATCCATATGAACAAGGAAGCTGTAGGAGTCACCACTTCCCTATTGCCTCCCTACTGCCTCCCCCCAGCCCTCATAACATTTGGCAGCAGCAGCATCTTGTGTATGAAAGAGGTTTATAGTTTGTGTCCTCAGCTGGGCAGTGAATGCCTCAGAGCACTGCACAAGAAACAGGATTTGTGCTGCAGTGAAATCAGCCTGGGTCCAGGCACAGGACCTCTTATCAGAGAACTGTTCCACTAACAGCTCAGTGAGGTGATCTTTGGGGAGCAAGACAGGGATTAAGGACAAGGGACATACTGATGGAACTGGGGGCTAAGGGTGGATGAAGATGCTGGTGGACTGAGAAAAGACTGCTGGAAAATTGGGAAAAACACAGGCTGACAGTATTGAGGAAGGTATACGATATACTAAGGACTGAAAGGAAGGCAGAAAATGGATTAGGGAAGAGGGCTAGCTAGTCAGCTAGGATGCGGTTGGATTAATGGTTTGATGAGGCAGATACTCTCTTTCAAGTTCAGGAACGAGGACTGGGACAGGGATCTATTAGGAGACAACTATGTATGAACACAGGGGAGAAGAGGATGAAGGAGGAACAAGAGAAGTTAAACTGATGGGGTAAAGGCAGCAGACAGAGTCATATGAGGGAACAGTACTGTCACTCTAATGCCAATAGAGTGTCATTTGGAGGGGGCCTACTGATCCCAGCTATATGGTGTACTGCTTAAAAGACCCCACCTATGAGATTGAGGTTAGAGGCTGATAATCTCTTGGAAATCTTACCATTCTTTACTTGAATTGCTGAACCTTGGCCCTGGAGGTGAACCACAGCTGGCTGCAAATAAGAGTACAGTAGTTTAAAATTAGCAAGATACACTGTTCTGTTCTTTTAAGAAACTTGGCACATCCCTATAAGACTGATGACCAGGATAAAGACACAGAACAGCTGTTAAAGAGCTTTAGGGAACTGATGCAGGCACTATGTATGATAGCCCATTCAACTCTAAGCAACACACAACTTGTGAAGAGGACTCATCATGATTATCTTCTTTGTGGCAGTGTTAGTTGAAGTGTTTTAATTTGTATTTAGAAAGTCCTATTCATATAGTCTTCAGCTTTTTCAATATTCAGACCCCAAGAACTGTTTGAAACTCCTTGTAGATTAGCAATGCTTTCTGTACCTAACAAACATAAAAACAGTCTCTTGGCTTGTTCTAAAGAGCTAGAGAAGCATAATGGCAATCTGTTTGGTAAACAACTGATCAACACTATTTCCTCTGACAGTTCAAGTGATAAAGGTGACTGCGGTCGGTTTTCTTTGTATGAGTGTAAAGACTAGTTAGCAGAGATGCCTATTTCATGAAGAAAGTTACTTTCATAATTATACTCTAGTCTAGTGTCCTAGGAAAAATCATACTGTAAAATTAAAACAAAAAATCAATTCAACTCAAAAAGTGACATTTCCTCTGAGACATGGTTAACCAACCTGTATCTCCCTCGAACTGGCTTTGTCCGTGGCACCTGCAAGACAGGATATTTACAATAATAATAATGGTATTTGGAAATGGTCTGCAACCTTCACTGTAGCAAATCTCCTACTAACACTTTTTTTTCTTTCCTAGGCTCGGATTTTGAACAGAGAGGATGAAAGACAATATATAGTATAAATCTTAATATCCAGCAGGTCTCTCAATGAGAAAACCTTCAGTCTATCCTTTTTGTAGATTCAAATTTCATATCTGACACATTGAGATTGTCCATCCACTCTCAATAAAAATGCTGTTCATTCAGTGCATCAGATTGCAGCCACCCTCTCACTGAGCATGAGGATTGCTCTTGCAAAGATTACAGGTTCCAGCATACAGTGCTCCATCCTGAGCAGCAGACTGCACGTTGGGATCTTTTACCTCTCTAAGCCACAATACTTCATTAAACATAAGGGTGGCTATGGCCAGCACTTGGAAAATGCTAACTACTACATGTTGTATGTGGACTGCACTTGGCTACTTCTGATATAGAGGCTAGAAACCAGCCAAGTTTCCTCTAGAAGCCATATGAGGCATAAAGCAGTAACTCTGACTGCAAACAGTGCTTTATTATTTAAAGCAAATTTAAAAAATATTCTCTTGCAATTGTCAGGAATCTCTGGTTTCAAGCGTTCTTAGTTAAGGCCACTGTTTTCCACAGCAGTACAGGTCACATAAGACACCAAACTTGATAAGAAGGTGATACAGTGAGCACCCATGCAAAATGATGGAAAATGCAGTAAAAAAGGAAGTGTAGGAGAAAGAGTATTTTCATATAAGGGGCAAAACAGATATGCTGCACGTGACTATTCTGATTAATTTAGAATTTGTCAAGGAGTGGCCTTACTGATCCAGATTTATCTTTCCCAAAGGTTTAAAACAGATGTGTGAATTAAGGCAGATGTGTGAATTAAGGCAGACTACCCAAACTACAATCAAGGCAACCCAACGCCAACCTACTCTACATACATCTTACACACAGGAGTCACAAGCTGTTTGTAGACTTCAATACCAGTGAAATCAAAGTTCACTAGAATGTTAAGAGAATAACAGTCTGCAGTTCTACTTCCTCTGAAGATCTCAAAATATTTGAGATGTACGCTGCAAGACCGTTGTAACTCAGATAGGGACAAAGATATACAGAGAAAGGAAATGAACCACTTAAGAGCTCATGGCAAATCAAAGTAACCATGCCAAAACTTCCAGTTGCTGGGGGGAGGGAGATCATTAACTCATGCTCACTCTATTGGAGACAGAAACAACTAATATATCAATGTGTGCAAACCAGAGCACCCACACGATCCTCTTGCCTTCACCATCTTCTGTTTGTTATCACTTAACTGCTACATCAAAACCTCGGCAAAGCTTTTTGGGGCAGGATCAGATATTGCTTGTCTGAAATAGGCCAGGCATCCCTATGTACTGCACAATACGAGTGATCAGCTGGAGTAGCCTATTTGCCACCTGCTGAGGAGCTGGTAAAGGTAAGGCAGATTTTTTTACCTCGTTCCCCCTATCTAGCTCAAGTTTTTCATGACATTCAGGAATACTAGCACTCAGATATTTAGCATGGCACTTAGACTATCCTTCCTTATGTAGCTGCGCTGATTGGGGTTGGAACTGAAGGAAGGGCCACTTGGGTGTGTTCTGTTCAGTTTTTAGGGGCACTCATCTCCATGGTATTTGCCCTAATCGCTATATTCAGCAAAGTATCGGTCCAAGAAGAAATGAAACAATACGCTTACCTGAGGGGCCCTGCATGCCAGGTGGTCCCTGAGGGCCAGGGGGACCAGGAGGGCCAGGAGGTCCCATTACAGTCGTGCCTGGAATTCCAGGGATCCCTGGGATGCCTGGAGGGCCCTGCGGACCAGGAGGCCCTGGTGGCCCTTGAGGGCCATTGGGCCCTGGAGGACCAGTCTTTTTACCTGAAAAATACAAGATTGCAGATTACTCTGTCTACTGAATATGGCACACAAAGGCCATGGGGCAACTTCTCCTGGTCTCCTAAACAAGAGCAGTGGGTGGTATCATGAGGGGTGAGGAAAAGAAAGAGCTCTTTAAAGCCATTTTACATTATACACTCACTTTCCCATTCTGTGCTAGAAGCTTCAGCTGAGCTGAAGCCAGTGCAAGACAAGTTGAAAGCAAGATGAAACAGCCAGCTCATATTCTGTGATCCAAGCGGGTTCAACCGGGCTTGCCATATGAAATGAGTGCACAGGACAGAAAGGAAGCTAATTTTTTGATGTGAATAATCAAAACGGAATAGAGCAAAACAGGGGGAAGTGGGAAGGGTCTGCTGTCCTGGAAGACTCCTCAGACAAACCTTCTTCCCTAAAGCTCTAGTGTACCCTACTTCCTTGGAAAGCCTGATCTACTGTGTCCATATAGGCTAACTGCACCCAATTTTGGTGCTCAAGTTCTGTAGTTTTAGCTTCTAAAGACAGGATGGTTGACAAAGACAGACTATGACATGGTGAAGCCTGGAATGACTCCGTAAGCAGAAAAGGTTCTTTGAGAACATGGCTCCACTAGCTAATACTGTTCCTTTGGTAATGCTGCATGGGGAGGAAGCAACTTGGGATTCTGACAGGAGAGATGGCTGGGTTTCTCCCCATGTATCTTTTCAACTGAAGCAGATTATTTCTCACACTAACAGCCTTTTTCTGTTGCTAACTTTTTTTTTTAGGAGGTTTAAACCCCACCAGTGATATATGTTACCAGGTGTGATTTATTGCAGTAGCACATAAAACAATTTGCATTTATCTTTTAAAAGTGCAGACAATTGCATTGGCTCTGCAAGCTAAATTTGGCCCCTTTCTGCCAATGAAAATTCAGAATTTCTATTCCAATTCTATTCTGTTGATTCTGAGATATTCAAATCTGGTTCCTCACAAACAGGACAAAACAAAAACTATTCTCTGTATCTTTGAAAAATAAAAGAACCTGAATGTTTTTTTCTGTCAATAAGGAAAAAATGTTCCATGTCAATAATCATAACTTTATAATATAATCGAAGCTGAAACAATGAACTAAGCATGAAATGTCCTGTCATGTTTTTGCTGGAAGCATTTGGCAAGATGTTTTTCTAGTGGAAAACGGCCCAGTCACACATTTGTCAACCAGCTTTAGGCATTACTGGAAGGGGCCTTCATGTACAGCCCCTAAGGTTTTCACTGCATAATCATGTAGCATTTTTCTCTACAGGACAGCTTGTGGTTGGGAGAAATGAGCAGAAGTTTGGGAACCCAGTGGATTTGAATTACAATCTTTCCTTTGTCACTTAGTCTTGGACAATGTAAATGCAGATGATGGTGGTCTTTTATGTTAACATATAGATAAATTCATTAATGTGTGTGAGAGATTCACTTCCTACTATGATCGCCATGGGAAAGATTTTGAGAAAATGAAGAGTTTTAGATTTAACGTTTTGGCTGCAATACATTAGGTGAAGGACTGCATAGCAAGGGTAAAAAAAATACTGAACAGTTGAATACCATCTATTATGCTCACTGGATATGGAAAGGATCCTGTGGATAAAACATCATGATCATGTAAATAAAGATTATAATGCATATGAACAAAAGGGATGAATAAGATGCCCCACGCAAGCTTCATTTGGGATTTCCTAACCTTCCAGAGCTTGATACAAAATAATGTTCTTTTCAAATAGTTTTTTAAAGCAATTCTATATTATACAGCAACTTTTATGAGCTTTGCAAGCATACAAGAATCTCTCCATCACCTGAAATACAGCTGTCATAGGGAGAGAATCCACCAACTGCTTCAAATGACAGAATGTCAGCTGAAGTGGGTCTTTGTACTTAAAAATACTGAAATGGCTTTGTACAGTCACTGCACTTCTCAACAGGTATCCATGCCACGGTGCAAGGAAATAAATCTCATTATTTTGGCTAACAGATTTGGAAAGGCCATATACTTCTCACTCTGGTCTGCCCAAACCATATGCCATGGCACAGCACCTAAGCAAGAAGCACATAAATCAGCCTCAAAGCTGCTGTCCCAATCTGGTTGCATACCCTCTCCCCTAGTTTGTTTGATAGAAGCTGCAGTTTCTTTTTCTTTCATTAGATGGCACAAATGCTCATTTTTTTCTTTATCTGGAATGTAGGTTAGACAGTTTCTTTTTCTGTACAAGCCATACATACAGACTTGAGAACCCACTGATTGTATGAAATAGCTGAATTCTCTCAGCTAAAGAACTTCATCCCCAACACCGGCTTCCATCTCCCAGGATGGCAGCTGCCCCACAGGGCCTGGTCTTAACCATCTCAGAACGGGCACTGGACCATTTAAGGAAAGAATGCAGCCTTGGGGCTTCTCCAGTGATGCCGGTGCAGCTGTGGTGTTCAAGCTCAGGCAGCCGACCACGTCATCTATGAATGCCCTTACGGTTCTCCTTCAGGAGCCCAAAGTCTTATTAACATTGACCATTCTACCTGTTTCTGGCTTTCTGGCCCTCATGGTTCCAACATATGAGCGTGGTAACACTCACTTCATCATCAGCAGCTGTGTTCTCTTATTCCCTCCCTCTGCCTCGTCCTGTATTTCTATTCATAAGGAAAATTAAAACTGGTATCTCTTGTTCTTTTCTTTTAAGCCTAAAAGTTAGTTAAATGATCTCATTACAATGGTACACATGTCTTATGAGGGTGGGGAGAGGGTATAAAGGGGAACAAATTGATACTGCTGGTAGCATTTCTGTCTCAATTGGTGTGCATGCCTTTTCAAATCTGATCTGGCAGCTACCCAAGTCTTCTTCCAATTCTCTTAGCTCTCCTCTCCCTTAGGATGACATTCTTTTGAAAGTATCAACTTGAACCCAACTCCAGATCCTTACACATCTTGCCTAAAGCATCCTGATTACATTCCTTTGGTTTATATCACCTTTATCCTAGGCTATCTTAATACAGGATCAAATATGCACCTAAGCCAGGTTTGCTGCAGTCTCTCTTGGCTCTGCCTTGAGAACCAAAAGGGAATACACATTGCAGCTATTTTAACTAATCTTGCCCCAGAGGCCTGTTCTGCTACTAAATTAGCTGTTACTTCAGGTGTAAAACTATGGCATGTAATCCTGAAAGCAGCAGATGGGCAGGTATTTGCTGTGCATTCCTGTTGCTACATCAAGGTATTTCAATTAATTTTTCACGAGTCATGGAATTCTGCTTACTGATTTGAATAGAAACAGCTACGCAATACGTGTAAAGACTTTTGATTCATTCCCTAGTGAAGAAGAACATTCAAAGATAGGGAGCTGCATGTAAGAACTACTGCACTTGGAAAATAGAAACATTTTAAATGTTGTAGAGATTTTGTGTGGATGAGTTATCATCTATTTAGATAAGCAACAAAACATGTTACAGACATCACTCACTTGAACAGAAGTCCATCCAGATTAGAAATTCTTTGCCCAGAGAAAGAACCACCAAAGAGTGAATGTGTACGTGTATGACAAAAGAGGGAAATCAAGACATAGAAATATCCTGGCACATCCCCTCAAATACAGCATTCAATCATGAGCCAGAGCTGATCATTTTGGTTACGTAGACAACATCTGTGTGGCTTGTACACAACAGACAATGCTTTGAGTAAAGTGGTCATATCCCATAAATCTATATAGGTTTAACAGTATCCTCCAGCAATTGCCAGTGTGAATAATTTTATAGTGTGTGCTGCTTATCCAGTTCCCAACTTGCCAAGACTTTCTTTAGCCAGATGTATCAGGCAGCATCCAGAAATTTACTTTTCAAAGTGAGGAGAAATTATCTATTTTCTGTGTAACATGCCAATCAGCAAGCAACCCCTATATTTTCAAAGTATGGCAATAAAACAGATTTTTAAAAAAAAGTATTAGTTAATATAGCCCTATGATAGCCCTTGTATTCCAGAAACTGTGTAAATGTTATAATTATTACTTCCTAGGAGACTTCCAGTTCAACTGGTCTAGTATGAGATAGATAAAGGGGTTTGTGGGGGTTGTTTAGATTTCTAGAAAATATGTTTTAGGACACTTTTGATAAGAAATGTAGACTGAACTTTCCTAAGTGTGCCTCTAAGGAGCAAAAGTGATGTGTTTTAGTGAAGACAGTAGTTTGCATATGCAAATAACATAGGCAAACACTCTCCTTTTCAATCTTCCTGCCAAAAAATGACACACAGATGTCTGCAGGTGGAGGAAACTGATCCACATTAGAAAGGTTTTGCTAAGCTGCAGAGACAGTGGCAGAGAACACATCACATAATCAGCCTGCTTTCCTTTCTTCAATTAATTATCTGTAAAATGCACTAGAGTTTTAGAGCAGGGGACCACTAAGCACAAGCCTAAATCCAGCCTGGTTCATCAAACTCTTACACATGTGCTTAGCATTAAGCACACATGTAAGTGCTTTGCTGAACAGGGATGAATGTAAGCGTGTGCTTAATTTAAATGCATGCATAAAAGCACACAAGCCATATTTGCAGGAGCCCAAGGGCTGTACACAGTTTGCAAAGAAACAGTGTTTTTTTTGGTTTGTTTTTTTAACTTACAGAATGTTCTAATTCTGTACACAACAGTGCTCACAGAACACAAAAAGGTACTTCCATAGATGCAAGGCACAACTGTAGGGACCCTGACACTGAAATCAGTTCCCTGGGAGGGAGTTTTGTAGACAATTAAGATGTTTCAGTGTGCTCAGATTCCTAATAGAAAATTTCTGCACGAACATACATATTTGCAAAGAGGGCTGTGAGCACAGCAGCTCTCTTCTTATGTACTACTGAAACCCAGATGGACTATATATAAGATAACTCAATTCATATACAATACAATAAGCCGTTATAAATTTGAGCATTTAGAACAGCTTGAAATATGTGATACAAAGCAGTCAAAATAACTGTTATGCAGCCTAGAAATAGCTTCTAAATGAAGCAAACACCTATTATTAAGGGTATGTAAGTAAATCTTACCTCATACCTATAATTAATTTAATCAATTTCTAAGCATCTGATCCACACCATACTTAATTCAGTGGATCCCCAATTAAAGATATGTTTCCTAAAATATTGAAGTCCACAAGTTAAAAAATTGAAGAATGAGAGATTGTGCTGATATCCTTTTACTGAGATGACATGAATGACAAGCAGCTAATGATAGTTTGGCCTGTGACTCAGCCAAATGTATGTGCAAATATAGTGACTTGGGAATTATTTGTGTACTATGCAATTAACTATAACTGTATCCCCTGTACTTCCTCCCCTGAATACTAATGTGCCAGATTCTAAGAAAGCTTTTATGAATGTGTTTCTAAAAGTGAGAGCTCTCTCAAAAGTGAGAGATTAATACAGGAGCAGGCAAAATACGGTCCATGGAAGGGCTCTGTCCAGCCCACGGCAGGTCCCTCAGTCCTTCCTGGCCCAGGGCACAACTTGCTGCCCCCTGGGCATGCAGCAGGGCTTGGGCAGCTCCACAGCTGGACTGCCTTTCTAGGCAGCCCAGGAGGCAGTGGCTCCTTCTGGCTGCTGCCGCTGCTGATCCCAACCCCGTGGTACTGGTGGGGACCTGCACACACAGCCCTGACCCTGGCTTGCCCCGCACCCGTTCTGGACATAGCCCAGCTAAGTGGACTGGCTCTGGACCAGCTGGAACCCACATACACAGCCCCAGGCCACCCTGTGCCTGCTCCAGAATCACCCGCCTGTACTGAGCAGAGGCAGCAGTGGTGACGGCTGGGCACAAGCTGCTGCTTGTGTGGGGGAAAAGTGGCATCTCCCCTTTGCCACTGCCAGGCCCTTCTTGCTGCAGCCACCCAGAGCCTGTACCCGGGCTTCCCTGTGGCTCCTCTGCACTGCCACCACTGCCTCACTGGGTGGGCTGGAGGTGGTGGTGATGGCAGTGGAGAGGAGCTGCAGGGCAGCTCTAGCAGGCTGCAGCAAGATGCAGTTGTGGAGGGGCGGGTGAGGGGGAGAGAAGGGTGCTGACTGGCTCATGGCATCTCCCTAGAACTGCCTATATGGCCCATGGGCCCAAATAATTGCCCACCCCTGGCTTAATATGTAGGTCACCTGCATTTATACTGAATAGAGAGTTCTCAGTTAGGGACGGCTTCATGTTTGAAATAATTACAATTGACAAGTAAGGTAAATTAGGATTTTTAACTTACCTTTTTTCTTGTTTTTAACTGAACTTGGACCTACAAAGAGAAAAGAAAACAACTGAAACGCACAGCAAGCATTTCATCTATAATAAAAGAAACAAGAAAGGTTTCTGGAATGGTGTTATTTGTTACAAAAAGAGAATGACGTAGTACAGCAGTGCTCTAGAGGAGTGGTCTCCAAACTGTTTTTGATCGCGCACCCCTATCAGTAAGCAATTTTTGAGCACACCCCCAATATATGTATATTTATATTCGCGCACCCCATCAGTAAAAAATTTTTGAGCGCGCACCCCCAATATATGTATATTTATATAAATATACATCTAAAGAGAAGTTCTAATATTTTCTTCCTGCACCCCAATGGATCGTCTTGCACGCACCCCACTTTGGAGACCACTGCTCTAGAAAAGTGGTTCTCAGCCCATGGTCTGTGGGCCACGGGGAGTCTGCAGACTGTGTTTAAGGGGTCTGTGAAAGAGGACTATGATCAATCAAAAGTATGTGAATATCCACATTTACAATTCAAAGAAGTCTGTACCTCCATTTGAAATTTTTTAGGGGTCTGCAAATGAAAAAGGTTGAAAACCACTGCTCTAGAGGGCAAAGGGTCTACAACCAAATATCTTGGCAAGTTCAGGTATTTCATGGAATCTTTCTACTTTGCCACTTCCTCTCAAGGTGATGATGTGTAAACTATGATGCTTGATATAAGAACCCAATACAGTAGCTTCTGTCTACAGGAACATGCCCCCCAAGGTGCCAGTTCAGTTTAGGGGACAGCCTAGTGGGGAAATGGAATTTCCCTGTTCAGAGAATTCTGCCTAGAAGTACGGGGACTTAATGCAGGGTGACATAGACATGGCCTGTACAGTCCTATTATCTGGTCTGTGGTGCTTCTTGTGGATCTTGGATTAGCCCTGTGTGCCACATATAGCACACTGGCCCTGGCATCATGTGCAGCATGTGGTGTGTGAAGCTGGGTCTGGATTCAGAGCACGTGCTACCTACAACACATGGGTTAGTCGAGGATGTGTGCTCCACGCAGCACCTGCACAAGACCAGTCCCACATGCTGGATTTGGGGCCAGTCTGGATCAGGCCTACAGACTGGCCACACATGCTGACTCCAGCATGCAGGGCCAGTCTGGCACGCGTTCTGCACACAGCTGCCTACTGCTTTTCTTTTACTTAATCTGTTCATTCCATATGTTGATGCATGTGTGTCACGACACAAGTAATAAATAAATGTTTATTTATTAACCAGCCTTAGTATATTGTATCCAATGGCCAACTTCATTTTAGAGAATGGTTTGCCCAAAACAACATTATGGTCTACTTCCTGATGGGTGTTCTCTTAACCAGAAGTCATTGTACAATGATTTGGGTAAACACCTGCTACTTTGCTGGCATGTGAGCTACCATCTGCTTCTGAACCACAGCAATTCTATGATGGAAGCTACTTTCCATCCCAGTAACCATAGGTTTATTTAAATATATGGTGAAATTTTCACCTCAGTTTCTAAATTTTCCAGCTTTGCACATATATAGGTTTAGCATACATATCTAAAGACACTGTATTTGCAGAAGTGACATCACACAGCTGTCAAAAATTGTCACACAATTTCAGACAAATTTTGAGCCTTGGTTGAAGCCCTTAGAAACAGGGCCCATAAATGTAGTTTTATTGTTCAAGTGTTCCAATTTAGAGTTCGCTTGATCATCACCATACAATCATGATAGTTCATGTACTGTGCAGATGGGTGATATATATTGTCACTGTAATGTAAATGAACATAATGGATATTTATAGGGAAGTGTCAACATCTTCAGATGTTACTGCATTTTCATCAATGACTTCTTGAAGAAAATAATTTTGAGAACTCTTTTGAACTTGGACATATGAAACAGGAAATGTTGATTTAATTCTAAACACCATCTTCATAAACTCTGTCTTTGCCTCTCTTCCTCATGTCCCTAGTTTCTGAATGCTTCAAGGGGTCCTGATAATAGCTTTCCTAATGTGTAACCAGGTTAACTTTTCTTCAGAACAAGGTAATTAAAACCATCTTCCTTTCTCAGCCAGTGTCAAACCCTTCACAAAACGCTCCACTAAAAGCCTGGTTTACTCCACTCATTTTTGCCAAAGAGAAACCAGAACTAGCACTCTATAAATTTTGGGGAAGCCATATTTTTTTGAGAAACTCAAACAAAAGGGTTTTTTTTTGTTAGGTTCTTTATTAGATTTTCCTTATATATAAGAGGAGGCCACTCATATGCTACAGCACAGACTTTTTGTATATTGGTGGGCTTCCACCAAGGCATAAACAAAAATATTCCCCTGCTGCTGTGAAACAGAAAGGAATGTTATGTTGTAATTTACTGATGCAGGCATGGGAGGATCTAGGATTTTGAAAAGGGGGGTACAGATGGTGTGGTACATCATCACATACAACACAACACACATTTTTCTCCAGTTGAAGAAAAACTAGAAGATTTACTTATATGCTAGGTGTCCAGTTCTATATTATTCAAGTTAAGAACAAAGCAAAAACAAATATAACTTTATTGGAATGTGTACTACAGGTTTCCCTTGCTTTATGCAGTAGATGTGTTCTTGAAAAACTGTGCATAACTTGAATTTGCATAAAGGGAACCCACTTTACAAGGCAACAAACAGGGATATGTTCCAAGACGTTGACTGCATTGGCAGCAGGTAAGTCTGCTGGGGCTGTGGCAGCGCCAGGCTCTTCCCAGTGTGGGGCTGGGCCAGGATGCCCTCAGGGTGGGCGATAGTGGGAGGAGGCCTATGGGGGGGCTGCAGCTACCCCAAAATTCGCCGTAGCCCCCCCCACTGCAGCTGCCTGCCGCAAGCACAGAGCGGCTCAACCCCCTTCCCCCACTCTGCTGGGAAGAGCCAAGCCCCAGGGGCTCGGGTGAGTGGGCCC